TTAAATAAAGATAAGTAAAAATTTTGAAATTTTTGAAAATAAATCACAACATACAATAGTTTTTAACTTATAAGAGAAAATTATTATAAATACTGGAGATAAATATCTCGAAAATTTAAGTCTATTTTTGAAAAATATCATCTAATTTCCAATCAATTTTTATATTTCTACTTCTATGAAAAGTTCGTACAGTTATTGAAGAATTTTCTAGAGACCGAAAAGACTTTTTCTAATGTGAATGAATATCTTAAATAGACATTAGAATATGGAAAAAATGAAAATATAATGTAGTTATGAATACAATGATTGAAAAAAGTTTAAATGTTATTATGGTTTTTCTTGAAAGCTGCTTTGTGAAAGAAAATTCTTCGAAAGAATTTCATCAAATATTTCAATATTTTATACCATATTGTTATGCATTGCACCATATAGAAGACATTAATATGAAATTAAAAGAAAATATTTATTATCAAAAAACAACATTTTGACGATATACGACAATGTATCAAAATTTCATATAAAAAAGAGAATCAATTTCATCAATCGATTAAAATAGAATTCAGTTTAGAAAATGTTAAAGAAAAGTTAGATGTCATAGGTTTTCGAACAAAATGTTTGCTCATTTTTGAGTTTCAGTTGAAAGTATTTTAGACGAGTCGAAACCTATCAATAAAAACTAAAATTTAATACTCTTTCTAAATATGGGCTTAGAAATTTTGTATCTTTTTTTGTTAGAGAGCAGTAAAGAAATCTTTAAAAGATCTTAAAAACTAATTTGGACGATGCATAATCTGGTTTTTTTTGCTAACTCATATATGTCCGTTTTCAAAAATGCTAAAAGTTATTGGACACGGTTGTTTTGTAGAGTAAGTACTACTTTATAAAATATGCTATTCAATTAAGTTGTAGCTTTTACACAATAGAAGCTATATGTATTTTGTCAAAAGTTCCTTTTTGTGTAAAACGCCTTTTAATCAAAAAAACCATTTCTCACAAATGTGGGTGTAGGAAAAACGAAAATTCAGATATCTTATCTAACGATCAAAACAAAGTCAAATAATACATTTTGTGGGATAGATTTTGCTCTACCAGTTGACAGAGTAGTGAAGGTAGTAACTTCTAATTTCGAATCGCAATAGTTTAAATATAAAAAAATGCGAAAAAAACATTTTCTGTTCAAACTAACTTTTTGGGACTTTTCTGAGACTTCTTCATTACTTTCGAACAAAAACTAATACAAAATTTCTAAACCTAAACTCAGAAAGACCACAAAATTCTGGCTAAGCCATAAATGTCAACTCGTCTGAAATACTTTCAACTGGACCAAAAAGGAGCGAACATTTTGTTCGAAAACTTTCAGTCTACCCATTATTTATATGAAGAGTCTTTCATCAATTCGACATAAATCTTTAATTTTTATTGAAACTTTTGAACAATATTTTCATGACTTTCATTTGAGAAACTTAAAAATAAATCAGCGGAGAATGCATTAGCAATGCAAACTTTGTTTTATTTAGGTTCGAAGAATTTCGATTATAATGAAAAAGATTCTTCAACGTAAAAAAGTTACTGAATTTTTGAATAGCCAACATACTAAAATACCATTAGAAATACGAAAATATGAAAAATTTCCACAAGATAATGATAAAAAGGCTAGAGCTAAAATGAGTCCATGCTTACGACAGTAAATCATTAATTCAATAGAAAAATATCTATCAAATTTATTAGCTTTTCGTTATAATGTTTTGGTAGTTTTTAATCATTTTAAAAGAAATTTTTATCGACTTATGAAGCAATTAAAAATATACAATTGAGACTTTCAATGGTTCAGAGATTGGACAAATTATTGAAATATATATACATATATGTTAGAGTTGGCAGGAGAATTTTAATTGAGATTGGAATGCGCGAAATAATTAAAAAAAAATAAGAGATTTTTGAATTGTTACAGCTTTTTCCTTAGACTAAAAGGATAGGATCTAGAAACGGAAATTCACCTGTGTAAGTGTTGTCCTGTCTTGCTCTATGTCTACATCCACGCTCATCTCTGTCATGTCCTATTTTGAATAAAACAGTGAGATACGTTTAAATGTTTAGTACACAGATTCATTATTCGTTCATTGCTCAAATTTTTTCGAGACGTTCCTCCTTTTTTTAGGCGATTGCTGTAGTCCGTTACTGGAATTTCAGTATACATTAGGTATCGCCATGTTTTTCTGGTATGATTATTAGATCTAGTTGATAATGTTGTTTCAATTAAATTGAAGAAAAAACTGTCCTCATCGTTTATTTAAATCAGAATATACTATTCTTTATGAATAAGTCTTTTCTGGAGTTTGCTTCATATTTATTTAAGACAGTCATGTAATGCTTTTCATCATATTTTGGCTACTTAATTCTAAAATAGACAGAGTCATGCTAGTTGCCATTCATATAACAGCAGTTCAAAAAAAGTTGAATGATTAGTAACCTAACGAACGATATACAAATAATAGCACTTTCCATATTTTCAACATTTCTTTCTCTTCATCGATAAGGTCACACTATTTTCTTTTTTTTTTTTGAAACTATAGAACAGTGTATAGAAAAACATTTTTAATATTAAAATATCATTTTTTTTTCTAAACATTGCATAACGTGTCTTGAGTATTTCTTGTTCCTCGTCAAATGGTGAGCATAAATATTTGAATCTATTCATTTAAGACTTTTTATCTTAGAAGAAACTGATTCGATTTATCAGTTAGAACACCATTCTTTTGATAAGGTCACAACGAAATTAAAATATTAAAATTTGTCACGAAAATAGTCAAAAAAGAAATATTTTATATTCTGTATTTAATTTTGTTTGATGTTTACAAGCCAGTTTGAAACAATTCTAAGAAATGAGAATCTCGATGTTTTTTTGAAAAAGAAAAACTCTCATCTTTGTCAATGAAAACAATAATAGTAAAAACTATCACAAAAAATAACCGAAAACTCTATTTTTTAATAGGCATTTAAATAGTATTTTTCAAACTATTTCCGCCTAATGAGAAGTAACAATTTAAAGTCTGATACAAAATCCATTTTTTAAGGTTTTTTGTAATAGTTTTTTTTCTCATTATTTTTATTTCTTTTTAGTCTATTTAAATGCGATTTTTCCGTTGCAAAATCTGTTTGAGGCACACTTATCCTTCTATTTTTTTCTCATTTTGATACACTGTGATATACTATTGACGATGTAAACTTGGGTGTGGGTGTGAATTAAGATAAGATTAACATACACACCCACACCCATACACACCCACCCACCCTTTTATTCGAGTTTCCGATTTATGAAATCTCATTGGGGTATTATCAAAAAATCTAGCTTTCCCGTAGTTTTTTTGAAGCCACATTAGAGTGCGTTTGGAATAATAGCAAGTAGTCGTTCGACAGCATCTCTCTCTCGGTCACTGCTCATAGTCACTTGCTGCATTATTTAAATACATTAAAATAATCGTTGGTTATTTTGTATTTACCCTAAATGCTATCACCTCACGTATAAATTTCTTTTTATATTAGCTTTTTCGATTTCAGCAGATTATACAGAAATAAGATATTTAACTCAAAATAACACTCCGAATAAACAGAAATCGATGAATGCCGTGTACTTAAGGTTCTGAGTGACAATGATGTGTAACCATTGCTCTATGAGACCTTGACTTAATAACACGCCCACCCCCACTAAACCACACCCACACTCTTGTCTTGACCCTAAAAATTGAACTCAAAACTTTGAGAAACTGACCTCAGATTCATATTCTCCGTCTCCGATTTACATTCATCAACCTCTACTTCCAGCCTTAAAAAGTTGTATTGATTGAAGGCTCAATGTCAAAAATCTCTGATCGGTTGGACTTCCAGCTTGAAAAAATATGATTGGCTGCAATCCTAGCATGGAAAAAAACTTGATTGGCTTAAGTCCTAATATGAAAAAACCCGATTCGCTGAAATCCTCATGTCTCCATCTTTAATGATGCTTTTTTAACCTTTGACTCTGACACAAACTCATTTTATTTCATGTGACTTTCCCTACAGTCAAGGCAATAAATATGAGATGTAACTGTAGATTTATAACGAAAAAAATTCCAAGAATGATATATTCTTACTTTCAACCCACCCGATAGTTTCACTGTTTTGAATTATTATTTGCTTCAATAAAATGTCCTTATTCATAAGATATGTCTAATTATGATAGTATCAACGAATATGAAAGGCGTTTTTCAAATGATATAAAGAAAACTGAAAATTTAATTGATGCTAGAAATCAACAGAAATCATTAGAAATCAAAGAAATCGCTAGAAATCAAGGAAATTAAAGAAATCCGTTTATTCTCTCTAGTTCCAAATGTACTTTAATAAAATTAAGACTAACATATTTCATCTACGACAAACAATAACAGTATATAGTCATTTATAAACCGAAACATATGTTAATAAACCTCCTCTATGTACAATGCTTGTATCTTCATCGTTTTCACATATGAATCCCACAGGGATAGTAATCGAGAACTTTTTCTTATTTTGTACATCCTCGTATATCTGATTTCTGTGGTCGGTATCTGTCTTCATTATTCTCTCTAAACTTACGTTCCCATACATTAAACTACTACTTTAGTATAAAGTTAAAGTATTCCAAACAAAGCTTCACTCCATCATTATGTAAATAATATTCCAGGTATCTGCAAAAAAAAAAACCCTTTCCTAAATGATCAACTTATGATTGAATACGAGTAAAACAATTATCCATAGAAATAAAGAAGGTCTCAACATCATCTAGAGATCACAGGTTTTGTTTATTCTTCGCTTTTTTCTTTTTTTTCTTTTTTTTAGTTTGCGAAGATTTAGAAAAAGAAAAAAAAATCAACAAAGAACACAACAAAGAAAAACGTGCAGACATTAGTTCTATTGCCTTTCATATTTTAATTAAAGAATAAAATTTGAGTACGTTTTTTTTTCTAAAATCTATTTGTCTTTGTTTATGTTTGTACAGCATGAACAGTTTCTTCTTTATTAATTAAATGACATATCTTATTAATAATTGTCATTAATGAATCAAGATTAGTCGACCATTCATTAAGGATTTCTTGTGGTGATTTCTTTTCTTGAAATGTAACTATATCTTGTAGACGATCTATTTTAGCATTTACTATTTTATTTGAAACAAGATTTGATAAAAAATGTTCAGCTACTTCTTTTGTTAAATCAAGTAATTCAGCAATTTTTCGCGTACGAACACGAGTGTAATATTTTGCCATAATACGCATATTCTTTTTTTTTAAGAAAAAAATAAGATTTTTGAAAGAAAATGAACTTACATGTTCGACAACACGAACTTTAAACTCTTCCCAAAGCTTTTCTCCATCTTCATTACTAATAAAAACATTTGTTGCTGGATCTTCTTTTGTACCATTTTTAAGTTCATTTTCACAACTTTTAAGAATATCTTTCCAATGAATAAGTTCTTGAGTTTTAAAGCGTTGTAATATTTCTCTTTAAAAGAAATGTATAAAAAATTTTTGAAGTAAATAAAAATGTTCTTTCTACTTGTATTTTGGAATTTTTTCAAGATTTTTATCGAGAAATAAACGATGTAAAAAATCTGATTGTTCATTGTTATATGATGATAAAATCAAATAGAGTACAACATATTTTAATGCTTGTTTCATTTTTTCAGAGTCTTGTTTTATACTTGGTATTTCATAGTAATGCTTATAATGTTGACAAACATGAAAATAATTTTTATCATGTAAATCCATTTCAATCATCAATTCATAATATTTTAATGTTAAATCCTATAAAAAAAAAAGAAATCAATATGCTGCAGTTAAACGCTATATTTCAGAGAGATTTATCTAAATTTGTTTTTCAGGAGAGACAATCTGAAACTTCGAAGTATTAAATATTTCAGTTCCATGTCACGGTTTCGTTTCTGAAATTTAGAAAATTTTATTAAATTCCATGATGTTATAAGAATTGTATAAATTTGATCAAATTCTTTCGGAAACCAGCTTTGAAAATTCCGGACTTAGTGCAAAATTTTTTATCATAGAAATTCTCTGTCACTGTCTATAAATTCTATATATCATAGTGTCATACTGAGATCCATTTGGTTGTTAATTGAATTAGTCATTTTATGGAACTCAATCGTATTTCACAGCTATTTATCAGTAGACCTTGATTTCACAACTATGTTAACTTATATTTCGCAAAAGACATGAAAACTTACATGTGAAGCTCCGTCTTCAAAAATTTTTATATTAATTTTCTTTGATATAATTTGTGTTCGAATAAAATCGTGTGTAGCTAAACATAAACGCATTTGTTCAAGTAAAAATTCAAGTTTTTCACGACGATCCATTGTTCCATAAATTTCTACCTAAACAAATAAAAATATATGCATAAGAAATTAAATATCTTAATTAAAAAATAAAATTTACTTGCAGTTCTTGTAAAATTTCTGCTGCTTCTTTTGTTTTATCTTGACTTTCATAAACATCAGCTAATTTTTTTGTTAATCGTGCATGTTCATTTTCAACAAAAATCTGCAAAAAAATTAATTAATACGAGAAAATGTTTTTGTTTTGTATAATTATTCATACTTTTCCTGTTGTAACTGTACGAAGTGTTTCAATTAATTTAAGTTTTGTATCTACATCAGGTGTTTTTTCAACAAGTTCATAGGCTTCTTGTACCATTTTTGTAATAGCTTGTTTTAATTGACTACGACGTCTTGATAATATTATTATATGTTCATTCATTTTTTCCCATTGTTTTGCTTGATAACAATATTTAACAATAGCAACAAGAACACATCCTGTAGAGATTGTCTCAGCTGCCTAAAAAACAACAACAAATCTCTTTGAAAAAAAGCAACAAGAAAATCTTACAGTATGAGTTTGTTGTTCAAGTAGTAATAATCGATCAAGAACTTCATTTAATTTAGTTTCATCCTAAATTAAAATTAAAATTAATATTTGAAATCATCTAGAAATTCATGATTTAATTTACCTTCATAAGTTCATTACATTCTTTAAGTTCTTCATCCACAACAATTGAATAATAGATTTTCATGTTAACGATTCTTTCTTTTCGATTACATATCTAAATTAGAATGGATTAGGAATACAAGTCACGCAATATCTATAATGTGTGAATTTATTAACAAAGTCACATGTGAAATTCTATCGAACTACAGTAATATAGTTTTTAATAAATAAATGAATAGAAAAAACTATCGTTTGAATAAAAGATATATCAATGAAAATTTATTAAAAGGAACCATCTATCTCAAACTGTGGTGGTCTGACTATTCTGCAATAGTACCTCTTTATAATATTTTTCAATTGTTTCTTCAATTATCTCTTTATTAATAGATTGTAGACGACCAATTTCTTTCTCATATTGAAAAAGGAGAAATGG